CGCCAATTATTCGGACACCAAGAGTTCAATTTTAAGAAGAAGAGGGTTAGCCATACATACCTCACTTGAGTCTTTCCCTAATTCCTACGACAAGTTCCGGAACCTTTAGCACCTTCAATCTATTTAACAATGTAGCACAATTGAACTCATTATTAGAAAATTAATCATAGCCCTAGCTCATTTGAGCATTATATCAAACATTATGTGTTTGATGGGGTCCATGGCCCATTTTTAGTGGAAGATTTCCCCAACCCATTCCCTAGTCTTTCCTATCTTTGTCTTAGCATTCCCCCACATACCTTAGGATCACATGCGTGCAAGGTAACCACTATAATCCCCATGAATTACCTCACTAAGGGTTCATTTTAGCTACACTAGGGAATTGAGAGCTTGGGTGGTAGAAGCTTACCTCTTGGAAGGGAGACCTAGGTGCCTTGTTTGTTAATCTTCAAGGTGTTTAGGCTAGGATTTGATGAACAATGGATCGAGACCCTTTCCCCTCTCTTTGATCCTCCTCCCTTACTCTAGTTATCAGAAAAAATATTCTAAAATAGTGCACATGGTGCACCGCATGGGGCGGCACGCTAGTACAAAATAGTGCCCAACTTTTCTCACTTCGTCTCAGAGAGGGTAGTTTCGTTCGGGCCCATTCCTATATGGTATAAATACACCAAAAATATGATTTGTAGAGGATTTTTGACCTAGGGAGCTATTGGAGAGCATTGGAGGCTTCAAGACATAAGATTTTATCATCCTTCCACCAGTTCAATACGCGAGTTTGGATTACGATGGATTACTGTTTTCTTATTCTGTAATTCTATTTTTGATAACTTTTTCCATATCTATGGATTAGTTTACCTTAAGGTTTTACATTACTTGATGACTTGATTATCATCTATGGATTTTATTATTGTTTGTTTTCTTGAATTTGCTTGAATCAATGAATCCTAATATGGCTAGATGAATGTTAAAAGCTAAACTTATGCCTAAGGAATTTTGAGCCGAAGCTGTTTCTTATGTAGTTTATTTGAACAATAGGTCTCCAACAAGAAATGTTAGAGATCAAACCCCTCAAGAATAATGGAGTGGAACAAAGCCAAGTGTTAGGCACTTGAGAATCTTTGGGAGCATAGCCTATGCTCATGTGCCACAACAAGGGAGAGCGAAGTTTGACGATCAATGTTTTAAGCATGTGTTTGTTGGCTATGATACGAGTTCAAAATACTACAAGTTATACAACCCAAGTAGCGGCAAAGTGGTGGTAAGTCGCGACGTTGAATTTGATGAAGAATTGGCATGGAATTGGGAACCTCTTAAGAAACTTTATATGATTTTCTTCCATACTTTGGTGATGAAGAAGAACTAAAGACCATGGAACCCGTGCAAGATACAACTCCACCTCCTTCTCCAACCAATGTTGCATCTCCTTCTTCTCAAGTAAATTCAAATGAACAACCACAAAGGACGAGGAGTATTCAAGAGCTCTATAAGGATACAGAAGAAGTTACTAAATTTGATTTTTTATGTTGTCTCTTTGCTGATAGTGAACCAATAAAATTTGATGAAGCTGTTACAGACAAAAGGTGGAGACAAGCCATGAAGGAGGAGATCGAGTCAATAGAGAGGAACAACGCTTGGTAGTTAACAACTCTTCCTAAGGGACAACGAGCAACTGGAGTGAACTGGGTATACAAGACAAAGAAGAATGCTAATGGAAAAGTGGAGAGATACAAAGCACGACTTGTGGCTAAAGGCTACAAGCAAAGGAAAGGCATTAACTATGAAGAAGTCTATGCACCTGTTGCCCGTATGGAGATAATTCGTTTGTTGATCTCTTCGGCGGCGCAAATGAAGTGGAAGATCCATCAACTAGATGTCAAGTCAGCCTTCTTGAATGGCTATCTTTGAGAAGAAGTCTATGTTGAACAACCACTGGGATTTATGGTAAAAAACCATTAAGATAAAGTGTTGCGGTTGAAGAAAACTTTATATGTATTGAAGCAAGCCCCACGGGCATGGAATAGTTGCATCGACAAGTATTTTCAAGATAATGGGTTTGCTCGTTGTCTCCATGAATATGCACTTTACGTTAAAGTTCATACTAATGGAGATATCTTGCTTGTTTGTATCTATGTTGATGATCTTATTTTCACGGGTAATAACTCAAGTTTGTTTGAAGCTTTTAAGAAAGATATGTCCCGTGAGTTCGAGATGACGGATGTAGGGCTCATGTGTCATACTACTTGGGCCTAGAAGTGAAGCAGATGGAGGATGGAATTTTTATCTCTCAAGAAAGCTATACAAAAAATATATTGAAGAAGTTCAACATGCTCGATTGCAACCCTATGAACACGCCAACGGAGAGTGAGACAAAATTATCCAAGTTTGATGAAGGAGAAAAAGTGGATCTCACATTTTTCAAAAGTCTTGTGGGAAGTTTGAGGTACTTAACTTGTACCAGGCCAGATATACTCTTTGCAGTTGGAGTAAATTGCTTCATGGAAGCTCCTAACTCCACTTACTTGAAAGTCGCTAGAAGAATTCTTCGTTACCTAAAAGGTACGATTGAAATTGGGCTATTTTACTCTTCTTCTAGTGATTTCAACCTTGTGGGATTTTGTGATAGTGATTATGCGGGAGATATTGATGATAGAAAAAGCACAAGTGACTTTGTATTTTTCTTGGGTGATTCTGTTATTTCCTGGAGTTCAAAGAAACAATCAATTGTTACTCTCTCGACTTGTGAAGCTGAATATGTAGAAGCAACATCTTGTACATGTCATGCTATTTGGCTGAGAAGATTATTGAAGGAGCTCAATATATGACAGATTGAAGCTACAAAGATTTGTATTAACAACAAATCCGCACAAGCACTCGCGAAGAATCCAATGTATCTTGATCGAAGAATGCATATAGATACAAAGTATCACTTTATCAGAGAATGCATTCCCAAGAAGGAAGTCGAGATCAAATATGTTAAGTCTCATGATCAAGCTGCAGATATCTTTACAAAGCCTCTCAAGTTTGAAACTTTTCAGATATTGAGATCAAAACTTGGAATGAAAAAGAAAAATCAAAATTAAGGTAGAGATTGTGGGGTCCATCCCATCAAAACAGGCATGTGCTTATGAAATAAAACTTGGCTAGCAACTCTTTCTTGGAGCCAAAGTTCGGAAATAAGTGGAAAAGATTAATACATCTCCTGCAGCATTCTTGGAGGCTACGTATTTTGCTCCTATAAAAAGAGGAGCTCTCTCACTTCTTCAAACATGATAGTAGCTAGCCTATATTATACGATGTAGATGCTATTTATGCTCTAAATTAACCATACCTTATTGATGTTTTAAGTGCTAAATGATAACAAAATGCTCTAATTGAGGTTTTTATGCTTTGCAGGAGCTACTCCGAGTTAGGAGGAGAATATAGAGTATTTTGGAGTAAAAAATGAAGATACAAGGCCAATCGAGAAGAGCCCGGATGAAAACGAGCAAGAAAAGGTGAAGAAAAAGTGGACAACAGTCCACCGCGACCGCGGTCGGACCGCAACTGGAACGCGGTGAAAGAAAGCGGAAAACAGAATAGTTGTAAATCACCGCGATCGCGCGGCGGTTGTCCCGCGACCGCGGACGATCTGGAGGAAGCCAAGAAGTTTAAGAGCTAAAGTGTAAAATGTGGGAAACTTATCCTAACCCTATATAAACTCAACAAACTCGCCCAAGTCAAGGTTAAGTTTGTTTTTAGACTGAATTGGAGGAAGGACAAGTGTCAGAAGATCAAGACACCATTAGAGTTTTTCATTCTTCTTCTTGTTATCATTATTTTGTGAACTATGAATTATTTTATGTTTTTATCTTCTTTTTCCATGAGTAGCTTACACATTTAATCTAGGGTTGATGGAACCAATTGTTAGATGAAGTTTTGACTCAATTTTGTTATAATCGAGCGGGGTTTATTATATGATTATTCAACTATCTTTTGTATGGTGATTAATTGAATGGGCCCTCGATTAATCGTGTCTAATTGCCTTGTGTTGCTTGAGAAAGAATACTAAGTTAGATTGTTATTGAACAACACCACTTTTGGGTAATTGAAGAGATTCATTACTTGAATTTAAAAGTGGGGCTAGAGATAACGAAACTTTGGTGGGATAATTCAGAGCTGCATAAATTTTCAGCTAGAGTAGTTCGAGAGAATGCTCTAGTAAATTGTCGTAGTTGATCGAGAGATAATTGCAGTACCCATAGCTCACAATCCTCATAGAGTATCACGGCGAGATTATAGCAAAAGAGTTAAGAATTAAGCTAGCAATTGGGGAAATCAATACCCTAGATCTTTTTACCATTGAATTATCTTTAATTTAGAACATTGTTAGTTTTAATACCCTTTAACATTAGTTAAACAAATCTCATTGTTTATTGATAAAAATCTTTCATCGGGAAATTGTTTGAACTTGTACTAGCATCACTAAGAATTGTAATAGATAGGTTAGTTCCCTGAGGATTCGACTCCGGACTTGAAAAACCGGATTATATTTGCAACGACCGCTTCACCTTTTATAAGGCATAGTTGAGCGTGATCAAAACACAGCAAAAAACAGAGAGAAGTAACAAAAGTTAGAGTGAGTAATCCACAACTCGTTGTCTGTGAGATAAAAGTGAGTGTGAGTAATATTGTAGTAAGGTATTAAAAATAAAGAGTGTTATTTTCTTTTGAACTTGTAGTAGTCTCTTGACACTACTAAGTTGCAATATTGTAGTGGTAACATAGCTCCGCTCGGGTATTGTATTTTACCCTGTCAAAGATTTGGTGTCTTTGTTACTCTCTTGTGTTATTATTATTTATCGTGGATATTATTCCTAGACGGGATATTTATTTTCCCAACAAAACAAGCAGATATATCTTGTGCAGGAAAATAGTTTATATACAATACCCTCCCCAGACCCCATGGTGTGGGATAAATACTGAGTATGTTGTTGTTGTATACCGCATGTAGAAAAAATTTATTATCTTATCTTAGTTTAATTGTTTACAACAAGAATAAATACCAGTTACATATATAAAAGAGCTTCTTCGCCATGAAACACACCCCTTACAATCTATACCCAGGTAATGCCACATTCTTTTAATTTCAATAAAACCCCATCAAGATCTACTGAACACATTGAAATTCTTTAGCTAAGATGACACGGAGGAGGTCTTCTGCGACATAATAATATGCTTCTTCTGTAAGATGTATGCCATCCCAATGCAAATATTTTGCAGAATCAGAGCAAGCTGGAACTTCATATGTTCCACAAACTCTATCCTCGTTATAATTGTATGGACCCCCAATTCCACAGCATGCTTTGAGTATTGATTTTTTATGGAATCCAAAATAGCCCGGGCGTTCCAGAATTGATTTAAAAGAACCATAATTATCTCCATAATGAATAGCAGCATCTGGATATTCAAGTTTTAGTATAGATAGAGCCCTCTCCAAATAATCATTGTGATACATGGCGAACTCATTATAGGATTTCAAACATCCGAACTCATCGTAATCTTTATAGTCCAAGCTTGAGAACTTAGTAAGGTAATAGGGGAAACAACCATTAGGATAAATCCCAGGAACCACTATACGCTTTGCCCCGTATTTCATCACCTGTTTAATGCCTTTTACGATGGCCTTGACTATATGTGGGACATAAGTTTTAACTTCTTCAATGGATTTCCCCTGTGAAAATGCTTGGTAATAGTCATTTCCTCCAATTTCACCGAACATAAAAAGAGACTTTCCTAGAACTTCAGAACATTTTCGTATAGTGTAGCATGTGGCTTTTAGGTAGGTGGTCAACCAGCCAAGTTGAACTTTAAGTGACCTATTGTACGTAGGCATGCTAATATTTCTAGCTTTATAATAAGGGTTTCTTAATACTGTAGATCCTGCTACAGCGAAATTTACACCATGGCTAAAATTAGCTTCTTTTTGCATGTAAGGTTTGAGAAGTGGAAGGTTAAGAGCCTTAGCAATATAGTCTATAGCAAGACGACCATCGGAAAATCTACCAGTGGGTTCGCCAAAATAATTTCGACCATAAGGATAATGGTCTGCACGGTAAGTTATATTTGCATTGGGTAAGCGGACTAGGTTTCCTGTATCTGCAAGCGAATCGCCAACATGGAAAATGTATTCATAAGGACAAGTATTGGGGATTGTTGAGCTATTACCATTGTTATTAGCAGCATAAGCAAAAGCTAAGAAAGATAGAGTAAGGAAAAAAGAAGTTAGAACTAAAGCAGCCATTTGGAATATGTATACAGATGTTAAAGGCAAGGCGTAATATTTATATAGTAGAAAGGATTAGGTACTGAGCTTTTCTCTTTATTTACATTTTCGAAATCCTTGTCAAATGAAATGAAATTTTAGGTGGTTAGGATTACCTTCCTTCTTTTTTCGTTTTCCCTTCTTTTCCTCATGATATTGATGGTATTCTAGAAAAAAAAAAAACATAAACTGTTATCATAGTGCTTCAAACAAAAAGAATACTCTCTCCGTTTCAAATTAGACGAGATACTTTCCTTTTTAGTCTGTTCCAAAATAGATAACACATTTTTAAATTTGAAAATAATTCAACTTTAAACTATTCGTTTTACCAGTTTACCCTTAATGAGAAGTTTTTATAACCACATAAATATTATGGCCCCACAAAGTTTTTACCCCTTAAACTTTTAAAACCACAAATTTTAAAAGTCTTCTTCTTTTTTTTTAAACTCCGTGCCGAGTCAAACTAGCTAATCTGAATTGAAACGGATGGAGTACTTTTTTTTCTCTAACTTCTTGTTAATTAGGTCTTGTGTACATATGCTCTAGTCCATACTAAACTCTTAATATCATTCATTACGTATAACCATTTAGTAATTACTCAATAGGAAAAAAAAGGTAAAGAAAACGAAACTAAAACTTGTCTCTAGAGTACTTTTTCAACTTAATTATCTTTCTTAAGATTGAACCATGAACGGAACTCAAGTTGCAAGGACCATAGTCACCGCATTTCAAAGTTCTGGATTTTCCTATCTCAAGAAATATATTGTAGGTGATTTTCATTTTCTAAAAGTAAATAAATTCCTACGAAGTTGTTCTTAAAATAGAATTATAATATTTTAGAATTCTTCGTTTGATTTGACTACCAAAAACTTGTTAGAAAACAATGACAGGATCATGCAAGTGAAAGGTTAATCTTTTAAGTAATTCTTTTTACCTTAATCCTAATTATGATCTCTTGTTTCAACCCACCAGATTTGTGAAAGTACGTAAGGGGGTGAATTGGTTATTTAAAATTTTTTATAAGTAGTTGACTAGATTACCAATTAGTCGACTAGAAATAAGAATATGATAATAGTAAATGCAGAAATAAAATGCGAAAAATAAAGACATCGGAATTTTTATACTAGTTCGGATTCAATGTGAATCATAGTCCAGTCCCCTTGGGTTGCAAGGGTTTTCTCTTTTAGTGATCGATATTTCTTGAGTAAAAAATGATTGGTGTAGCTTTACACCAACAGCTTAGTCTTTATGTCTCTTTTCTTTTCTTGATACGATGCCTCACTAGTGTTTATCTCTTTTTCTTCTCTCACTAATTACACAACAGATCTAAAGGAACTACAATGCTTGTTTAGAGTAGAAAAAAAAGAGGGAAGATGGTTCATTCAAAGTATGTCCTTTTCACGTCCAGAACATCTGTATATATACTTTCCATGAGGCCTTCAAGAATCTTGAGATATCGCAAACCCAAGGGAGTTGATCCTTGAATGGAATCATAAATTGATTCTTTCCAGGAATAAAGTCAAGTTCCCTTGATCTTCCTTGATTTATGGTCTTGACGAGCTTTCCATCGGCTGGGCATATCTCTATGTTACTTGAGTCGTATCCGCTGGATCCCTTGATTATTGGCTTCAGTGATCGCGTTACCCTTTGATTTTGGGGCCTTCTAGTAATAGCTTCTGTCAATCTCTGATTGATTATTCTTGCTGGATCTCTGTTGTTTCTTCTTTTTTCATCGCCGATTCTTTTCCTTGTTATCTTCCGTCAATCTTTGATTGACTATTCTTGCCGGATCTCCGCTGCTTCTTCCTTTTTTGTAAATGATCATTGATTCTTTTCATTGATCTATTCCTGACTGATGTTGCTTCTTGAATGCCTTTAATATAGGCAGAATAGCCTAGAAAACACCTGTACTTATTCTGGTTTGACATCCCGGTCCCTAAACTTCATAAATTTTCATTCAGACACTTGAACTCCATCAAAACTAATATTTTAAACACCTCCGACCATGTGTGTTGTTCACTCTCCATGATATGGAGGACACATCAGATCCACCTAGATAAATACCATCCATATCATAATTTACTGTTTATAAAATTTTCAAATCAATTTATTTTTTTCCAAAAAAAAGGACCGCACACCTTTTCTTCTCTCTCCACGTTTTCAGCTCTTTGCCTTTTAGCCATCAGCACCATTTTCACTCTTGATAGCTCACAAATTCTTAAATGGTGAGAAGCTACTTCTTCCACCCTTCAAGGTTTCCTTCTCTATTTAACCTGCTCTTTCTACTCTATTTTTTCCAAGTTACAAAAGTCAAAACCCCCAAATCCACTCAATGTACCAATCCAAATTATGCACCAAGAGTAATAATTCAACAACTAATTTTGTTGATAGCCTAAAATCTTTAATCTTTAAGGATAATGAAAAGAAAATATCAAAGGAGGAAATTATGTTGGTGGTATATTGCCTTTGAGAAGCAAATTTGTTGAGCTCGACCCATTTGAAAATCCAAAAATTCATCCAAAATAGACACCAACACTTCAACTAATCAGATTTTTGTATTATTTATTTTCCTATATGGACCAAATTGATGGAGAAATAGGGAGAAGAGGAGGCGGTTCTCTGTCATAGTGGAGGTGGTAGTGGTGGCGGCAAAAGAAATGGCTCAAAAATAGCTCTGAAATTTAGGGAGGTTAAGGTGATGATGGAAGAGTTGAAGGCGGTAGTAGTGGTGGAGAAGGTGGTGGTGGAACGGGAGAAGGCTGCAGTGCCAGCACCAAAATGGAAGAGGTTGGTGGGTTGAAGGTGATATGAGTTGTTATACTTTTTTTTTCTTTCTCTTTTTAATTTTTGTCATTTTCTGATTTAGCCACCATTTCACGCTCACTATGCGCGTGTATACCAAGCATTTTGTCCACCTCAGTTATATTTATGCCACATCAGCTTGGTCAATGGTCAGAATTGTGTAAAATATTAGTTTTGATTGAGTTCAAGTGTCCGAATGAAACTTTATGGAGTATAGGGACCGGGATGTCAAACCGGAACAAGTATGGGTGTCTCCTAAGCTATTCTGCCCTTTAATATATTCCTTGAGACCCTACACCAAATGTAATATATTATTTTTCATCATTGAAACTTATAATTAACAATCTCCCCCTTTTTGATGATGGCAAAAATAATATATAAACAACAGTTGGCTTCCCTGTAGTTCTTGTAGTCGACTCACCTTCAATGAGTACGACATTATTCAGTTGACTCCCCCTCAATAAGTGCGTCATTATTCAGCCGACTCCCCCTAAAGAGTGTTGCATACTTTAGTTGATTCTGCGAACTGTTAGGTTCTTTCTTTTCTCAGTCGACTTCTGCAATGTACGACCTGCAATGTACAGTTCTTTCTTCCTATTTTTGACATCAGCAAAGAGGGGATAAACAGATACTAAAACAAGCAGTGTAAAGATAACTGCATGCTAGGAAAGTAATATGGATGCTAAAGCAGACATTATAGGCATGCATAGTAATAGCAAAAAAAAAAAGGAAAACGTATCCAACGACTGGTTATCAAGTCCAAAATAGAAAAACACAAAAAATTGTTTGAAATTTCCACAGCTAGCGACACAAGAAATAAGTAAGATTATTGCGAATCGCCTCCTTCAGTCGTTCAAAGTTGGCATTAGCTGAAACGGTGAACCCATCAATCCTGTCATGCACTTCCTTGAATGCTTTGACTGCGTTTTCTCCAAGTCTGAGAACTTTAACCCTCATCTTTGAAACATCAGACCTTGTCTCCTGGGAGATTGTATGGATGTCTCCAAGAGTGGACTGAGTGGCAGCAAGAAGATCCTTGATGATGGTCAGCTTGTTGTCAATGGCAGTCAATTTCCCAGCAAGATCAGGATGACTTACACTGTGATGGGAAACAGAGGCTTTGATCTTGGGATCAGGTTGAGCATTCTTGACTTCACCATCTTGTTTATTCACCCAAGAGCCCTTTACAAATACATAACCCATACTAGCAAACGCTCTGGAATTGTAGGATTTTGAAATAGAGACAAAATGGTATTATGAGATAGAGGTATTGTGGGCTTCTAAGATGTGAGTGATAGCCATACCATAGGGCAAACTGGTGGGATCATCAGCACTTTCTATCATGAAATTTATGACCCAAGAGGATAATTTAATCTTGAGTTTGGTCACAAGACAGTAAACAAGAAAGGTATCTCGTTGAGAGAATGTGGAGAATGATCCAGTAAGAGGAAGAAGAGTGGTTGCAACAATGTGGGATAGAACTCGGGTTTCAAAGCTAACATCACTGGGACCTAACTGGTTAGGGAGGAAACCAGATGAACACTCAGCAATACAATGTTTTTCTTGATCAAAAGAAATTTCAAATTCATTAAGCCAAGTATTCGTGAAAAGCATGGGAAAACCAGAGCTCTTACACTGAAAAATTGAGTCGAACATGGCACAATCAAGAACAATGCATTTACCTAAAACTAGGGATTCCAACTTATCAGACTTGCTAGAGCGAAGATTTTCATAAAACATTCTCCTAAGGGTTCATAGACTTTTGGAGGGGGGAAAGAGAGGAATTTTTACCATCCATGAAAGAAAAAAAGATCCTTTACCTTATAATTGAGGGCTTCCATGTCGTCAAGTTCGACTACTCTGTCATGAGCAATGGGCTTGTCTTTCAGAGCAACAAAGAACTCCCTGTTTGGGGTATCCCAGAAATTGAGGTCCGAATACAGAGAACTTGAAAGGTCTATTTTGGATTTCTTGGGGGTAAGAGATTCATGGGGTTCTTCCATGGGCCTTTTTCCTAGAGCTTTTTCTCCTATGTGATGAGAGTGATCTGAAAGTTCTGGTTGAGAAGAGGCGAACCCTTCTGAGTGGTCAGACCCTAGGTCTACTAGTCATGGAGGCTGAGAAGAGGGTTTCCTCTGGAGCGAGTACTTTTTCTAGTGGAGGCGTAACTGGTAAAG